GGCCGCCCGCGGTGCCGCTCCCGTCACCCTTCAACACTTTAACGCTTAGGAGCTTGCCCTCACACTAAGTCCTAAGATGTGTTGCTGTCAAAATGCCCTCTCCTCAGCCTTTAGTTGCAGAGACTTGTCCCTGCCTCCCTCCCGTGAACAGTGAGGTACTGAGGCGTGCCTGGCCACGGGAAACACCGCCATAATTACAACTTGTGAGGGGATAATGAGCGTGAATAGGGAGGATGGACGGATTGCTGTCACCTACCACAGCAGCCACACAGGCGGCTCCCAAGCCTGCCTTGTTCTGGAGCATACAGGCTGTGATCCCAAGAGAGTGAAATACCCGATCTACTGAATTAGCTGTTTGCTGGCCGGCACAAGCCGTGCCTGCCTGTGTCGCTATGGCCGCGGGCTGTGTGTCCCGCAGAGGCGCAGTGCCCGCCCTGCTGGAGCACTTGCCGTGTCAGAGCAGCGGAGCACTCAGGGACACCCGAGCTCTGTCACTGCCGTGGGCTGTGCTGGAGCCAGCCATGGAGAAAACTTGCTTGGAACCTGTCCATAGGACGGGTGCTTCCCACACCTCTCCATACAAGAAGCAAGGCCTTCAGTCCATAAAGTCCCTTCAGTGTTCCTGAGCGGCCGTGGTGGACCTGGTGCTATGCACAGTGCACCTGCAGGGTCTTGGCCCGGCACATTTGGTGGCTGAGCACTGACAGATTGGGCAAAGGCCTGGCCATGGTGGGTGGGCACAGCAGTCTCCTTAGCTCCATCAGATGACAATCCAAATTCATCCAAATCAGTTTGGGAAGGAGCTGGGTAAAAAAGGATCTTCTGAAGGGATCAATGAGAAAAGCAGATATGTGGGAGCAGTTTCTTACGGGATTTGTTACTGCATTTTTGTTGCTGCCATAAGCATGAGCTAAGAAATATCTATGAAGTGGGAAGCAGGTGGAATAATTGACACGGTGTGCAAACAGAGCAGTGTATTTTCTCTCTTGATAACGCCAGCAGTACTGTTTTTTTTCTGAGGCTGTTGAAACTTCAAAAATAGCGCTGGCCAGCCAAGCCAGTTCTGTGTGTGGCTTGCGGTTTGTATAAAGTCCAGAAGATTTTCTGGGGTATGCTGCTCAATGTGCAGTTGTAGCAGATGGGAAGATAACAATTGTAAATGCAAGCCTGTGGTGGCTGTGCTGCTGCATCCTGTTTAAATTGGCCTGACTTGTAGTTCACTCCTGGGTAATGACTTCAGAGAATATTTTATGCAGCAGATCTGTGAAACTTGTAGGCAAAGCAAACCTTCCTGTTTCCCTCGCAGTGTTCTAGTACATTCCAGTTATTAATGTGCATATCATTCACCAGATGGTAAAATAATGAAATAACTTCAAATATGTTTTCCCCTTAGAACTAAGGAACGCTGTTCCCAGTTTTGCTTAGAGAAGGCTGAGGAAACAATGTACTCTTTAGTTACACTGAACAATTGACAAGAATTGTTTCACTCGAAATAACTAATATCTCATGGCTCTTCAGCCCCCTTGTTCCTCCTAGCACAAAATCCCCCTCAGAAAATACCTCTTCCAAAGTCTCTTTACCTTGTTAGACCAGGCTGCTGAAGCTGAACACCGCTAGAGCAGAGGTTTAACATAGCAACATGCAAGTCAAGCTGATAAAAAATGTGTATGTGCTTTTCCTAAGACACAGAAAGTAAAAAAAAAAACAAAAAACAAAAAAACTTTCTCTCAATCATGTCTTTAGTCAAAATATATGAATAATATTTTACCTTTTTTACTTACCAAGATGTTTAATTTGTAGATTTTTGAACAGTAGAGTTCTTCAACACCAATGCATCATGTTTTTGTGTTGAAATCCATGGCTTAGAAGTTCTTTGCTTATACAGAGATTGAATGCAAGTGGTTTAGCAGTACCAGTGTGACTCAGAACTACACACTCATTCAGGTAGGAAAGAAGGGAGATCCTTTTGCAGCAATCTCGAGTCCAGTCAACGTCAAGTCCAGTTCCTACTCAGAGCAAGGTCAATACTGAAATCCAACCATAACATTCGGGACTTTCTGAGGTTGGCAGGATCCTGGCTGTTCCTGCCAGAATGGTGTTCATGGTACCGAGGCTCCAGGCGTGGGCGAGCTGCATTTCATCCACTGCACAGCCCCAGTGCTTTGTGGGGCAGGGTTTTGGTAGCCAGGGGTTACAGGGCTGGCTTCTGTGAGAAGTGCTGGAAGTTTCCCCTTCCAGAAGTTCAGGTGCCAGCTGGCCCCAAGGTGGACCTGCCACTGTTTCACCAAGGACAACGTTCCCTGTCCAGGAGCCTTTGACCACAGTTCCTGTGCCCTGCCTGCTGAGGAGGGCAGCCGGAGAGGAGCTGTGCTGGGCACATGGCACCCACACAAGGCCAGCCCCCCACAGCTATGCAGGCATACACACAACCTGAGACTGCAAAATGATTACTGATTCAGTAAAAATGACTTTTTGCAAAAAGAGAAAATTAATATTTAAA